AAATTAAAAATAAGTTTAAAATAATAATTTTTAATCCCTTAACTTTTAATATATACATATTTTTTGTCCATCTATTTTAAATTAAATGATTAAAAATGTGTGTATTTAAAAAAACTTAATGGAGTAATTAATAAAATGATTAAAAAAAATATGAAGAATGGATTAAAAAAGTATATAAAAAAACTTAAGGATGAAAATTATATAAAATACCAAAATTAAGGACTAAAAATGAAATTTGCCTTTTTTGAAATTTGAATTGATTTGAATTGGAGCGGGCAACTGAAAAAATGAAAGATAAGACAGCTGGCGCGAGAACAGAGGGGGATTTGCGCAATCAAAATTGCAATGTTGGCCAAAACGACATCGTTTTGGATAGGAAATCTTTTTTTTTTTTTTTGGGGGCATGAAGTGTAACGGCCGGAATTTTGTGTACCGGCAGGTACACAAAATTCCGGCTTGTACACCGAATTTTGACCAGAACAGTCAGATTTTGACCGAAACAAAATTTAACATTATACCGTTTCGGTCAAATATCAAAACCGGTATGGTACGGTACGGGATTGACTTCTTTGGTATTAACTAACATCATTGGATTGAATTATTCTAGTACATATAAGTTTGTGCTTTTTAGATGTGATTGGATAGATATTAATTGAGGTTGCATGGAGGATAATCTCGACTTCACTCATGTAAACTTCTCACGTCTTACCCATAAAGGCAATAATTTACTTGACGATCCTATAAAAAAGGTTTTTTTTTTTTTTCTATCTTTTTAATGAATTAATTTGTTTGTTAATATTGAAATTGAAATTGCTTTAAAAACCCTTATTGAGATTAAATGCCTTATGTTTGTTGAGCTCCTTGCTATTTCACAATGATCCTTATCTTAATGTGTGTTTGTTGAAGTATGAATTTATACAGTTGATGTTAATTTCAATAACTTTTAAAGGAAAATTGAATGTTAGAGAAGAATTATAACGTATATATAAAGACATAAAAGATTAGATTTTTAGTAATTAATTATATTTATTTTAATAACTAAATCTAATTCAAAAATTCAGTTTTGATTACCAAAAATTAGATTTTTATTTTAAATATGATTCATTCAATTAACAAATTTATTTTAATCCTTTTGAGCAAAAATAAGTTCTTTTATCACTAATCAAAGTGAAATATTTCAATTAATTACAATTTTAACTGAATTAATTAAAAAAATTTATTTTAAATGTCAAGTGATTTGGAATTGAATAAAATACATTCACCTCTAATGATGAAAAAATTGAGAAAAAATTGTATAGAGAGAATTTTGACTGTTATTTTTTAATTTTATGGTAATTTATTTAACTGATATTAATAAAAATTTAATATTTTAACTATTATATCTAAAAAAATGGTATTATAAACATTATAAAAATTCTTGATATATTTATAATGAATTTATTGGAACATTTTCACTTATATAAGATTACAAATTGTACATTTACTAAATAATGAAGAAAAATTTAGTGGATAAACTATAAAGGAATTTTTCCCAACTAAAATAGTCATATTTTGTGGCAAAATTCTAGTATAAAAGTGATGGTTTTCTCACTTGAAGAATTAAAATTTAGTGGTTAGTTTCATCAGTATAAGATGAAATCAACTTGATTTCATTGTATTCTGCATACGTTTCAATCAACTCCTTTTGCATACCAAACTACTAGGTTGAAGATTGAATAATTATAATATTATGTGATATTATAAATTTATAATTAATATTATGTGTTTTTATATAATTAAATTTTTTATTTAAA